ATCATCATCATCATCGCATAGCACAGTAAGGTGAACTTAACTGATCGCCGCGATGATGATGATGATGATGATGATGATGACGTTGATGATGATGATGATGATGATGATGATGATGATGATGATGATGATGATGATCGCCGCGTACAAGATTAGTGGTAAACTTTAAAGTGGACAGGAATTGGACCTATTTTAAGGGAGGAGGAGGAAGAAGGTGAACCTCTATGGGTAACTCTCATAGTACACAATGGAACTCTGCATACATAACGTTTCAATCATTCTGATCTGATGAGAAACGATATCAAGAACGCCACTGCTGTCGGTTCGCTGACATTTGTTTCAATGTCATCAACCAATCAGTTGTGGAGTCTTTCGGACCCCAACCTGGAAAGCGCGTGACATCTACTCTACTTAATGGCTGTGTGCATTTCTTCATGCCTCATCTTCACGTCATCTGTTGACCTCCACACGGTTCTCTCCAGGCCGGAGTGGCGACAGCGAATAAAGAGCGAGGCGGCAGACGACCATTGGGTATACGCAATGCATGCTCCAGTGAGCGAAGCCTACTAATCTGAATTCGGTGTGCTAACAGGTGTATCCCTTATAAACTTCCAAACACACGACTACTAACTTTTACACTACTAACCCGTTCGCTCCATCCCACATAAGTTATACTTCATAAAAATCGTTAATCGAAAACTTCTAGTCAAATCTTCTACTCGCAAATTCTCGGTCTCCCAACCATACCGCACAATATACACGACTTTTCAGCTTCAGTGAAACGTCACATCTACGTCGAAGGTGCTTCAGTCCTGCCTATGCCGCTCGAGCCTTGAAATGCGAGCGGCGATCTCCTTCGCTGCGCTACCGTCATTGGTCGCGCAACTACCTAAGTAGGAAAAGTAATCCGCCACAACTAAATCCTGGCCATTTAGTTTCAGGGCGGGAGTAGACGAAACCCAGTCCTGCAGCATCACTTTGCACTTCGAAGGTGCAAAGCACATGCCGAATAAGGCAAAAGTACTTGTTAGTTTATCAAGTGCGTCTTGCAAGTCCTCCTAACATTCGAATGAACAGATGATGTCATCGGCGTACTCCAAATAGCACAGTTTTCTCCAGGTGTCCATTCAATATCCACGTTTTGGAGACCACTTACTGCGTCCTCCAGTATTTCGTCTACGACGAAGTTGAACAGCAACGGCGAAAGAGGGCACCCTTGACGAACACCGCTTCTGGTGACGAACGGCCCACTTATTTCGTTATAAAGCCTAACACAACCGGAGGTATGTGAGTAAAGTGATCTCAGTAAGTTAACCTACTTCTTAGGAATACCTTTTCAAAGAAGGGAACCCATCAGAGCTTCGCGGTCAACTATGTCGAACGCTCCTTTCAGGTCAAGAAACACTACAATCGCAACGTAAAAATTTGATCAATACGTCCATGGCCACGCCGGAATCCGGCTTGTTGTTCACGCATCAAACTTATCCCACGACGGTTTTCGCAATTGTTGCGAGATCCTTTCTTGAAAACGGTAACGATCAGTGATTCGCCCCAAGGTGAAGCAATGTGCTCTTGTGTGCAAATGTTGCGCAGTAACGTAATAAGAGATCTTACGAAAGAATGCAAACCTTTCAATATTGTAATCTGGATTAACGGCCCATTATCAGTAAATAATGTCAAGCGGTATACGCTTTGTCCTTCGTGTCTCATACCACGATCTTCGCACGGGTCAACACGTAAAGGTGACTGGAAAGTGTTTTATGTCAGATGATGCTGAAAATGTTCTTTCACTTCTTCTCTGTGCGCCTGCTAATCGATGCTAAATTGGAATTCGTGATAATTCTGAAAATAAAATGAGGTAAAATAAATAATTTGATGAATAAAATCGTTCCTCAGTCGGTAAATCATAGTGCAACGATAATGGATTTAGTTGAACTACGTAACAAAGTACTGACTTCCAGTATGCGTTTAATTTTAACTCTAATTGTTATTCTCTAATTACACGGCAATTGGTTTATTTGTATAGAGAATACAGTACATAGGTTCACGTTAAACAATTGATATCCGGTTTATTTCGCTTTATCTCACTAGGTACATACTACAGATTATATAATATTCATAATCTCAATAAATGGATAAAACTTACCACGAATAAGTTCACAGCAGTCAATATTTTTACCAAGCTCAATGTCAATCTGCAAAATCATTCCGCTGTCAACTAGTTTTCCTCGTCGTTTTACATTTTCAGTCGATATTTGGTGTCCGTGCAAGAGTTTGTTTGGTCACTCCAATTCGATCACATTCAAATGTTTGCTTTTCCCTTTGA